TTTATCAATCTGTAATAAAAGACGTGAGGAAATTCTGTCTTTTTTAAAGACAAAAATTTTTGAGGCGAAATACCCAAAAAGAAGTTTGTAAAAAACTGATCTATAACTTAAACACAATTTAATAAAACCACATCTAGGTGATCAAGTACTTTATATCTGGCGGATTTCAGCGCTATTTTTAATAATCAGCCACAAAGAACGCCGAAACCCGCCAGATATAAAGTACATAAACGCCCCACATTTATTTTATTCAGGTTACTTAATCTAGATCCCGTCCATTCTTAGGATATAATAAAAAAAACAAAACAAAAAAATGGAAAAACAAAATTGGTCTTTGGGCCCGAATAAAATAGAATTTACAACCAATACTCACATGCTTAAAACAACAATAATAAAATATACACCGTTTAAACTTACGTTAGACAAACAAACCAACAGACAAAAATAAAAATTCTCTTAATATCACTGTCACCACTAGACCAGGCTAAGATTACTTCTTTAGCACCCATCGATTCACTAAAAAACTAGCTAGGAAAGGCCAGACAAGCAGGAAAACCAACAGTTGAGGCTGTAGGCCAGAGAAAAAGCTTTTCCGTCGCACCAGCGCCTTTGCATTGGACGATTCAAGGCTGGTCACCTGCATAGAAACCATAACGTTTATTTCCTATAGTTAAATAAAACTATACAACACAAGCTTGAAAGGTTGCACTAACCTGATTGGTTAGGCGCTGGACGTCAGCCTTTAGGCACTCGATTGTTTTAGCCACGTCGACTGAAATATCCACCAGATGCGTGTGAGCACGCTGACGTGACCTGGAAACATGTTGAGTTTTGGAAGTCTCCTCTTGGAAGGCCTGTCCATTTGGAATGTATGTCTTCTCCTCGCTCCATCCTTTGGTCTCGATGGGCACTTCGATGGTGTCGATGTATTCGTCATCCGACTCCTCTTCGCGCAGACTGGGCGATGTGGAGCGGGAGGAGGAGATGCTCGAGATGAATCGGATCGGAGAATTCTCCCTTGAAGCTGAAACAACTCGGTTATCGATCGAATGTAGCTGAATCGAATATGGCTACCTAGAGGGGAGTTGGGTTGAGAGCGCACCTTCTCCAGCACATCCCCCGCCACGAGCTCCAAATCGTCCAAATTAATGCCGTCGAGCTCGTTGGTGGGGGCTTCCAGAAAGTTGGCCACCTTATCCGAGTAGCTCATCGTTTCCACGATTCTACGGCACCAAAAACCAGCTTAGTGGACTGTTCCCAAAGTATCGAAGTCACAAAGTTGACTTACGCGTGTAGTTCGTCAACGTATTTCGTCATGGCGTCGTTGCGACTCATGTCGCCCAATCGCTTCCAGGCGTCGTGTTTGGCCCGACCAACCAAATCCCAGAACCCGGGCCGAGCATCCGAGCACGGCCCCAAAGTGGCCTGCTTAAAGTAGGCATAGAAGCGCAACATCAACTCATTGCTCGGTTGATAGGAGCCTACAAAATGGGAAAAAGTGCCTATATATTGCCAGAGCTATGGTGCAACTAAAGTGGCCCCGAGCGTAATTGGTTGCCATGGCAGCGCCAGCTTATGGGCCGAATAATCGGCTCAAAACTGGATGAGCATTGGTTGCACCATTGCTATTTCAATTCAATCGGTTTTGTCCATAAGAAATGTGGTAAAAACGTTAGAGAAACCGGTTGAAACAAGTCAACAAACACAAAACAGTCATTTATTTGCCTTTCACTTCAATGGTAATAATTGCATATTTCCCACAAGAAACCACATCATTACGGCGACTTTCACGAATGAACCGGCCGTTGTCCGACGTCAAGTAAAAGTATTGTAAGCATATTCGAGTATAAATAAACAAAACCGCTAATCATTTGCCTAATTAGATTCACTTTTTTTGTTTTTGCAGCCATCCTTGACATACTTGTTTTGGAATGATCGGCAAAACATCGGTTATATCACGGCGATAGCCTGAAGACATTACACAACTACAAACATTATAACCAGAAGGCATTTAACATGGATTTTTGTTGACTTACTTTATTGCAAACTAGTACTGAGGCCTGGGGGGCTTACTTTTATTAGATAATAAACGCATCTCGAATTAGTTTACTTGCCTAGAGGCATATATATTTGCTTCTTAATTTTTTTGCTTCTTGAAAATGCATGCCAAGGCTTAAAGCAGCAACAACGCTACACATAAAAACTGATGATGGTGGAAAAATACACCGAAACGTATTTTGATTGATAAATAGAGACAATAAATGATTGAACCCCAGGAATGAATTTCATTTGGAATTGAAACACAGTCAGGAAAGTATATACAATGATTGATATGAAGGCTTAAAACTACGATTCAGTGGACAATGAAGCAGTACTTGACCCTTGCCCAATAGCAATTGAGATGTAGCTGAAAAATAACGCGTATGGGAGCAGCGTACAGCAAATTGGGTCGCTCGTATTGAAGTATGCGTAATTTCTTTGAAATTAAAGTACAACACTCACCGTTTTTGGGTAGACTTCGAATAACATTAACAGCCGCATTGAATTTCTCCTCGGTGGTCATGTTGGGCTCGTTTGGCCCCGGACTCTTTCCCACTCGAACGCTTTGCAACTGCTGTGATATCACTGAAGGAATGGGCGCCGCGGCCCCAAAAACCAAGGAGCTCCGCTGGACATGAAGTGACGTTCCCTTATTTTGGTGAAAGTGACATGACATGTGAACGTCAGTGGTGGTGCAAATGAATTTCCCTTTGCTACCTGTGCCCTCTAGAGGACGTGCTTTCAAACATATTAAGGAAAGTTTCGGAGTTATATTTAGGAAAATCTGGTTTAGAACGTTGGTTGAATTTTCGCTTTCAGCGAAAATATATAATTTTTTGAGGATGAAACAACGTTTTCCAACAAGCCAACAGCCAGTTAGACTTCAAATTTAAATATTTTTCAAAACCTGCCCGGCCTCAAGCGACATTGCCAGATGGTCGAAGAGTGAAATTTCCAGAAAAATGTCTGTCACATTTCACCCTCACCTCACCCGACCCTGCTTAACCAAACAACCCCGAGCAAACGTGTGCCTTGTCCTGTGGTGCAATGAGTGTTTTTCACGACGAAATTGAGATCGAAGACTTTGAGTACGACCTGGAGGAGGAGACTTACTACTTCCCGTGCCCCTGCGGAGATAGATTCGAATTTACCAAAGTAACCTAAAAAAATAGCATTAATTCTTGAAATCTGACTTTCACGCGTTTGCAGGAAGATTTATTCGCAGGCGAAGAGGTAGCGAGGTGCCCCAGCTGCAGCTTGATTATTAAAGTCATTTACGACCGGGTGAGTGAGACTGAGTACCGGTTTTGCCGTTTTGGATAATGAAGTGGTTTCCAGAAGGTAATTCTGGAGCAGTTAGATGAAGAGCAGTCTCTGGGAGGCAAACTGAAAAAGCTGCAAATCATAGAGTAAGTTAGTTATAATGAATCGCGGTAGAGGCGGCGGCCGAGGTAAGTTGCAGTGGACTTCTAAGCGAACAGTCGTAGAATGTGCACTTTTTCAGGTGGGCTGAGCAGGTCTTTCAACAAGGAACAGTTGAGTGCCTTGGGGGTGGCCAACAACGAGATGCCCATCCTCGTGACGCAACCGCCTTCAGTTTACCCCTTAATGGAGCGGCGCCCCGTGCCTCTCACGGTGAGTTCGGTTTTCTTCGCAAAAACTCTCAATTTATTGCTGCTTGCTTTAGCAATCTGAAGACACGGAATACCTATTGCTGCTACGGCAAGACTTTATAGATCGCATGCAACTATCGGCCGCCTATCTGAAAATGCCCTCCAAAGAAAAAACACAGCCCAATCAGGAGATTGATCGGCTGGTAGCGCAGCTGCCCAGCGCCAAAGACAAGTACGATTGGAGCCTGCTGCCTGCCGAACTGCGGCCAAAGTTGCTCGCCCGGAAAGTCAAAGAAGTGCCAGTCGCCACCAAATCCATCAACGTACAGGAAAAGTAAGTTTTGTGAATGAAAAAATGAAGCAGTCGTTTCTAATCGACGGTTGTTCCAGGCTGAAGACTCTGGAGAATCTCGAAGAGACCAAGGACAAAAACCCTGTAAAGGGGCAGGTGAAGGGTGGCGAAGAGGATCTACTGGAAGAAGCCTCAGAGGACGAACAAATGGATGATGGCACTGATTACGCCGACAACTACTTCGACACTGGGGAGGACTATGAAGAGGAGGACGACAACATGGATGAAGGCCCCATTTACTAACACCCCATGTGATATATCTAGATATAGTAATAAAAATCACTATTTTGGAACTGGTAACGTTATCTATTATCTCTAAACCTTCTCTCATAGATTTCAATTAATATATAAATATAGAGACAAACTCTAACAATGTAATAGAATATAAAACAGCTATTCGAAGTGGGGGGGCTATATTGTTTCGCGGAGAATCGATGTGATACGAATTGACGATCGACTAACCGAAGCGCCTGCTGATTGATTTGGGTCATAAGAACGTGCAGGTTCCTGCAACAGCAAAACAGGCTAGCGCATCGATCGACGCAGCAGTCGACGCTCTTACCCGTGGGGTCAGTAATCCTCCGTTGTTCTTGTGCGCAGCAACCCTCGTCTACGGAGCGTCTCGTCCATACGCAGCTGCTCGCGTTGCAGCTGCGCCCGAATGGAACCCAACTGAGTTAAAATGCTACCCCGAGAGCCGACGGGTGACGATGGGAGCAAGTTGCTCTTCTGTCCGGCGCCAATCTGGAACAATCGCTTCTGCTGAATCTGGTCCACGCCCTCCCCACGCTCCCTCACCTGCCATCGCTCCTCGGGCCGTCGGTGCGAGCTGAACGGGATGGCGTTGCGCAGCTCCTTCGCTACAGGGGAGCGCGCCTTTAGCAACGGCACAGGCAGCGATTCCTCGAAGCGCGACGAAGAATTGCGCCGCCGCAGTCTCGGGCTTCTAGACAGGCTCAGGTCCTGTTGCGTCGCGCTGTGCCTGGAATGTTTTTTATAAGTTTAAAATTCCAAAAAAGAAACTGTCTAGACCTGCGCTGCACATCGGTCAAGTCACTGCTGTATCCATCTCGCACGCTCATCGTCTCGAGCCGATGACTGAGCGAGTCGATGCGACTGAGCGAGTCAAAGCGGTCAAACTTCGAGCGGTGACCGCGAGGCAGCGGCACAGTGTCGTACGAACTAGCAGCGTCCATCCGGCGCAGCGCGCTGCTCTCCGGTTTGCGCAGAATCCCGCTTGGGTACGACGAAGATTCGAAACGATTTGCCTGGTATCTAGATGAGACGCACATGGAATCACAGTCCAGCCCCAGAGGGACGCTACTGACCTACTAGCACTAGAGTCGGGGAACACAGAGGTGGGTGGCACATTGTAAGAGGAAGAGTAGGGAGAAACGGGGGTTTTCCTGCTGACGGGCGGCGAGTAGCCAGGGCCGGCGTACCCCCCACTACTCAGGCCCAGTGAGTCCAAGTTGGCGCTCTCAGAATCGGCGTGGCGCCGCCAGGGGCGTTGCATTTCGTGCAGCTCGGTTTTGCGCCGGAGCATGTCGTCACTGTGACGACGCATCTGGAAACAAAAGTTCATTGACTGTGTCTGTGCGAAATAGGGATGACACTTGTCACAGGTATTTTGGAACAGATATCGATATGGAACAGTCGGTACCTGTTACCGATATTTAAAATAACAGGGCTCGCCTACGATGCTGCTCAGAACCAGTCAAC